AGCTTGTAACTGTGACAGCAGCCTTTGGAAAGTAAACAGGAGACAAAGGAAAGGACTCAAGTACAAGGAAACCCCCAACATGATTAACAGCTGACTCTCCATCACAAATAATAGAGGAAGCAGTAGGGTCACCAACATATTCAATGTGCAGAGAGAAAACTGCCCGCCAAGAATTTTATGTACTACTAAAACTTCTAAAAATAAAAATAAATAAATAAACAAAAAATGAGAGTATTCATTGCTAGCAGCCCTGCCATTCAAGAAATACTAAAGGATGTTCTTCAGGCTGAAAGCAAATGATCCCAGAGAGCATTTCCCACAGAGGAAACAAAAGGGGGAAGGAACAAATAATTAGTAATTATAAAAGACAATGTAATTGCACTTTTTCCATTCTACTCTTAATTGATTTAAAGACTAAATTGTACAGCACAACAATGTGAATGTACTTAAAGCCACAGAACTATATACTTAAAATGGCTAAAATGTGGGGCACCTTGGGTGGCTCAGTAGGTTAAGCAGCTGACTCTATGATTTCAACTTGGGTCATGATCGCAGGCCCATGGGATCAAGCCCTGCAACAGGCTCTGTTCCAGTTGTGGAGCCTGCTTAAGATTCTCTCTCTCCCTCTCTCTGTGCCCCACCCCCCACTTGCAAGCATGCTTTGTCTCTCAAAAAAAAAAATGGTGAAAATGAAAAAACGTGTTATGTATATTTTACCACCACCACAGCAAAACAACTGTAAAAAATAATAACGTGAATTACTGTATTACTTGCCCTGTAAAATATAGAAATCTATCTGACAACAGAATGAAGAGGGTAGGTGGGAGCCAAGTTGTATTGCAGTAAGGCAATGACACCAAAAGTTTACTCAAACCCACAGGAACAAATGAAGGAAACCAGACAAGGTAATTAAAAGGTTAATGTAACAAATTCTGCAAATGTCTCTTTACTCTCCTTCATTCACTCAGCTTATTTAAAAGATATAAAACTATATAAATATAAAATAATTATAACAATGTATTATGGGGTTTGTAACATGAACTGAAGTAATAAATAAAATGGATAGAAATAATATCACAAGGAGGGGTAAAGGTAGTAAACTACGTAGGAGTGGCAGGTCGACATCTCACTGGATCTGAAGTCTACATCTCAGGGTAAATCTGAAGTAGAGTATCATAAGTTAAGATGTACACGGTAAGCACTAGAGTAAGTAGTAACAATGAATTTTTAAAATACATAAAAAATAATTAAAGAAATTCAAATTACACATAAGAAAACATTTACTTAATACAAAAGAAAAGAATGGAAAATGAGAGAAACAAAGATATGAGGCATACAAGAAAACAAAGGAAAATGTGTTGTAACTCCAACCATGTCAGTAATAACATTAAGTGTGAATGGATTCAGCAAACACCCAAAAGGCAGAGATTGTCAAATGGGAGAAAAACAAAACAAAACAGGATCCAACTATATGAAGTCTTAAGGTAATACACTGAAGACCCAAAGATACAATGTGCTGAATGTAAAAAGATACAAAACACAGCATCAAAAAATAATAAGAAAGTTGGAGTGGCTTTGATGGTATCAGACAAAATAAACTTCAAAACAAAAAATGTTAAGAGATACAGAGGGGCATTCTATAATGATAAAATCCATCAAGTGAATGTAATAATTATAAACACTTATGTACCTAACAACAAAGACTCAGAATATACAAAGCAAAAGTTGAAAGAATTAAAGGAAGAAATAGAGATTTTAACAACTCCCAATAATAAACAGAACTACACAGAAGATTAGCAAGGAAATAAAAAGACTTGCAAAACACTGAAAACCTGCTAGACCTAGACCTAACAGATATCTTTATCCGTAGAACACTCAACAACAACAGTCCTTTTAAGAGTATATGAGGGACGCTGGGCTGGCTCAGTGGGCAAAGCATGTAACTCTTGATCTCTGGATTGTGAGTTTGAGCCCCGACACTGGGTGTAGAGATTACTTAAAATCTTAAAAAGAAAAAAGAGTACATGAAATATTCTCCAGGACAGACCATATTTTAGGCCATAACACAAGCCTCAATAAATTTAAAAGGCAAGGATTTGAATCATACAAAGTAAGTTCTCTGACTCTAATGGAGTGAAATTAGATCTCAAAAACAAAGAAATCTGAGAAATGCACAAGTACACAGAATTTAAACAGCACACTCCTAGATAACTAATGGATCAAAGAATAAGTTACAAGGAAAATTAGAAAGTATTTTGAAATCGGTGAAACAAAGAAACAGCACTTAGGGTAGTCAGCTAAAGCAATGAAATTTCTAAAGAGATACAAACAACCACAACTAACTCAAGAAAAAATGGAAAATCTGAACAGGTCTATAGAAAGAGATTGAATTAAAAATGTTAAAAAAA